GATGAGCGGTGTGTGTCCTCGCCCAGGATCCAAACCAGAGAAACCTTGGGCCGCTGAAGTGGCGCACGTGAACTTAACCACTTGGCCACAGGGCCGGCCCCAGGAATGTCAGTTTAACTGCTTCTACTTATTACAGTATTACCCAATCCAAGGCATCCAACCCATCCTTTTGGGGATCATGAAAGACTTTATCAAGTGCTCATTGAAACCATTACACACCCTTGTGTGCATGTGGGTGAGATGGTCCCCTGACCTGCCAATCTAACTATTCAATGAGAAGGAAAAGCGTTTTCTTTGCCAGAGTTGTTCCCTGTGAATTCTAGTGGCTGCCAGTTTCTGACAGGTTGTCAATGTCCCTGGCTTTCCAACATCGAGAATGACTCACTTGGGGGCGTGCAGGGTGATGTCCAGACGGTGAAAACGCCCTAAATGGGGACATTGCCCCACTGTGTGGCCTGTGTGGCGCAGGGTCATGGGCTCTTACCCCGCCCCCAGGATTTGGAATATTTCTTACTTCCTGTGAGAATGCCACTAGAACCTTTGGCTTCTCCTCCTTGCTTTGGCTCTGACATTTATTTCCTGGCTGTGTGACTTCGGTAAGTCACCCTACACTTGAGTGGCCTCATCTGTAAAACGGGCTGCTGCGAGGGATAAATCATGGAATGCAGTGCTTCCAAAATGCCGGCATCACTTGGGCGCCTTGCTGAGTTCCCGGGTTCTGCCCCTGGAGGCTGATTCAGCAGGTTTGCGGGAATACGTGATGTCGGTGAATTCTCCAGGCGAATCTGATAAGCACACAGGGTTACATCCCGAGTCGTCAGTGTTTGTAAAGTGCTTAGCAAAGAGTGCTCACGGCTCGTTTCCATCTCTCCTTTCCGCTGCAGCACGCGGTGCCCAGGCTTTGCCCACTTTGTGTCCCAGAGGAAAACCTCAGGATGCAACCTAAGTTGCTCTTCTCCAGACATTTTCCTTTGATAAAAATAGTCAGAAGAAAGGGCAATGGTTAACTCAAGGTTTTCATTTAAATCCACCACCATTTCTTGGGTCTCTACTCTGTACCCCACGGTAAGCCCCAGGAGGCAGAGATAAATAGATTTCTGGCCCTGCCCCTGAGGTCTTGGGATTATGTTGCAGCCTGAGAAATTGAGGGCATCAAGAGCAGCTAAAGGCGGGGAAGAAATCTTATTTTGGGTCAGGGGCCAGCCTTCCTTATCCACTTGAAATCACACCCCAGAGGCTTTCTCTAGACGTGGGTCCAGTCTTAAATAGAAGGCAGGTTCGAGGTCGTTGTGACCGATAAGATGGATACGGCGCTGGTGGAGGAAGAGAGTCTGAGAGGTAGAAAAGGCAGAGGGCGCTCGTCCTCAAGGTCTCAGGAAGGTCAGGTGGGGGCAGTCACCTTCCGAAGGGCTGTGCACCAGAACCACCTGGACAACTCGTTTAAAAAAAAAAAAAAAAAAGACTTCAGAATCCTAAATCCCATCCCTATGGAATCAAATTTCAGGCCTTGAGCTTTGTGCTTGTTTCACAAGTTGCCATGTGACTCTGATGTGCAGCCAGGTTTGGGAAGCACTGATCTAGAGATTCTAGAATGATCTAAAGTGATCCTGGCACTCTGCTGAATGATCTGGTCAGCAGTCCGAGTGGGTGTGAATCTAGAGCCCTGTGCTATTCAAAGTGTGGTCCTCAGACCAGCAGTAGCGTCAGCATCACCTGGGAGCTGAGCAGAAATGCAGACTCTCAGCCCCCAGCCCAGACCTGCCGGATCAGAATCGGCGTTCCTAACAAGAGCCCCGCTGGCTGACGCACCGGCACACCAAAGGGTGAGAGGATGGGAGCCTCCCCGAGGCTGGGATTGTGTTTGATCCTTGGCACCTCTCTGAGCCTCAGTTTCCTCATCTTTAACAGGGATGACAATAATCTTTGCTGTATCTCCTTCCCAAGGTTGTCAAGGGAACTAAGGTTGAACTCCCATCGAAATTAGATTGTGAATTCTTTGCAGCAGGGGCCACAGATTTTTACAATTTTTGCGTGCCCAATGCCTAGCATGGAATGAATGTCGTTTTGGCACACAGAATTATAGAGTCCTTAAAACGGAAGAGACTTCGTAAGTCGCATAGAACAAGCCTCTCAGTGAAGGGATGAAGGAATTGCAGTGAAGTTGAGATGATTCCAGGGTCAGACACTCCGTTATCATCACACGGGCTTTGTGCGAGGACTCAGGAGGGAGCACCCTGCAACAGGCCTCGCTCTCCATGAAGTCCTCCTTCCCTTGGCTCTTCAGAGCTGAGCTCAGCTCCCTGTCTTCGTGAGGGGCCTCCAACCCCTCTGACCACAGCCACCCCTGTGGCCTCTCAACTTCCGACCACTGAGTGTCCACCCGTGAATCCTGGACTGACTTCCTTGTACATTCCATCCTTGTTACACGTCATTCTGGAGGCTGCAGTGTGGTCTCACCAAATGTATCAAGCTCTTGGGGGACAGGACCACGGCTCTTTGTACTCCCCATCTGCTTTCCAGCCCAACACCTAGCACAGGATGAACACATACCAGGCATGGTTAACTTGAGTATCTGTTCTTTTTTGTTGTTTTTTTTTTTTGCTGAGGAAGATTTGCCCTGAGCTGACATCTGCTGCCAATCTTCCTCTTTTTTTTTTCTTGCTTGAGGAAGATTAGCTTGAGCTAACATCTGGGCCAATCTTCCTCTACTTTATATGTGGGTCACTGCCACAGCACGGCTGACAAGTGGTTTAGGTCTGGGCCCAGGATCCAAACCCAAGAACCCACTGAAGCGGAGCGTGCTGAACTTAACCACTATGCCACGGGGCTGGCCCCTCTGTTCATTTTTTTAAGTCAGCACTGAACACAGTGACGTTCTGTGACCACTGCTGGCCCACCCACAGGCCCGCCAGGATGGAAGCAAAGCTGGGCACTTCCAGGTTGTGGACTCACGCAAGCCTGACAGAGGTGGAGTTAAGAGAGAATCAGAAAAATGGAATTGGAGAAAACAAACGTAGGCAGATCTTTAGAGGAGTCTCCTAGAAAGGGAAAGAGAAACGGGCAGGAGCCGGCAGGGGAAGGGGGTGGAGAGAAGGCCTTGTAACACGCAACAAATGAAACAAAGCGAGAGCGTGTTCAATTGCCGATTGGATTGATCCACCAGAGAGGGGAAAATCGGTGCTGCATTGAGAGAGGCCGTCTGCCATCAGCAAACACTGAGCTTCACTCTGTCCCTCATGCTGGGAGGCGGGCTGAGTTCCTAAGTCATGACACTCAGGATTGGGCAGGCTGCGGGCTTTCAGGCCAAAGCAGGGAGAAACAGAACCAAGGCCCGACTTCTGCCTTCATTCATTCATTAGCCCAGGGTGGCCCCAGGGAGATTCCTGCCAGTGCATGAGGCCCCAGGCCCCAGCAGCTGCTGCTCTGAGCGTTGACACCCTTGTGCACCTGTCCCCGAACGTGGCTTTCTTACCTCTTTCAGCCTTGAGAATCCGATTCACCGTCACAGCTGAGCTCAGACGTCTCCCCTTGAGGCCTTCCCTGTGCTCCTGCCTGCCCGAGGCTCTGTGTGCTCCCCACAGCCAGCGGTTCCAGAAGCCTCCCCGAGCTCATGTGTTTGCAGCAGCCCTGAGCTCTGTCTGCCCTCCAGGCTGGAGTGGCAGCAGCTCCTCGTGGCCTGTGGCCTGATGCAGGGGGGCAGGAAGGAGCCCCCTTCCACCACTCTGAGCTACACCAGGAGGCAGGCCTTCTCACTGCTGTGCCCGCTGGAGCCTGGGAATCACGACTTAGGAATTCAGCCTGCCTGCCCAGCATGAGGAAGCTCAGTGTTTGCTGAACCTAGGAAGCTCAGTGTTTGCTGAACCTCTGCGACCTGCTGGCTCCTTCCTTGTCTGCCATTGGTAGTGATAAGGCCTGGCCTGGGAGGGAAGGGCCATCGTCCACGGGTTGGGTGAGTGGAGAAGGGCTTGGCTGCCGTGGTGGCTGAAAACCTGACTCACACCAAATTAGCCTGTGGGCCACCTGCCTGTGGGCACCGGCAGAGCCTGGGCACCAAGCCCCTACTGTGTCCCTCCCCACCTCCCCAAACACCAGGCCAGGAGCAAGCCCCACCCCCAGGTCAGGCAGCAGCCCTCAGGGGGAAGGAGAGGGCAGGCCCAACTTTTCACGCCCCCCACAGCTTTGGGTGGTTCCCAGACCCCAAAGTGCCCAGCTTTGCTTTCAGTTCTGCCCAGGGCCACCGGCCGGCCAGTGGTCATTGGAGAGTGTCACCGTGTTCAGCACTGACTGCCTTGTACTTTTCTCCCAAGCAACAGGCAACCTTTCCCCACCCCGCCCCCCCGCCCCTCCCCACAGGTTCCGGTTCCACAGGGATGTGGGTGTCTGTCATCTGAGTCAGCTCAGCCCCTGGGGCAGGCGGGCGAGCCTGGAGGAGTGGGGCACACGGTGTCCTGCTGTGTCCTGATTCCTCTGCTGCCCGCTCTCCCACCTGGCTGGGGCCCAGCTTCAATGAGGCTATCTCAGGAGACCAGATGCTTTCGTAGAAGGGACTGGCTGTACCCAAGGTCAAGGGGCTTTCCTCCAAGTTCTTTACTTAAAAGTCCTCCCCAGAATCGACGCTGCTGCCACTGGCTCCCGCATCACCCACCTCTTCTGAGAAGTGCAAGGACAATATCACGTGCATCTAAGGTCTTCAGAGGCAGCGATTTCTTCATGTTCTTGGTTGTTGTTTCTACTGGGAAACTCACCCACCTTTGAGTTAATGGATCAGGGCCTGATTTTTAAAAGCTGGGCTTTTAAAGTGCCCGATGCGGTCCACACAATCTTGGGGCCCCCTGTGGTTATAAAATGCACGGTGGCAGGACGCTGCTTGCTCTTTTTTTAAAAACAAAAACCAGAATAAACCAAACCTTGTTTATTAGGATCCCTCTCATTTGGAATCTGTGATATTCGAGACAAGATCAAGGCTTTGCACAGTTTGTGAACAGAAGGTTTGTCGTGAAACTCAAGAGTGCAGTTGCTGTAATGAGCTGCCACTTTTGCAGTGTCAGCTATGGGCCTGAGAAATGGCCTCAGGCTCATAGTTGACACTGCATCGCCCAAGTTCACATGCTTCCAGCATAGTCGTCCTGCCTCCTTTAAATCACTCCCATCCGTAAACGGCCCTCAGGCCCTTTGAACTCTCACTTATGCGCAAAATATTGTGTTATTTGTATCTCTTTTTTCAAATGCATCCACATTTCTAGGGACCACTTTCTTGCTGAGGCCAAGTCATTATGTGTAGTTGGGAAGCATAAAGTGTGTTATTCTACCAAGTTCTACTTGGTGCACATTAACAAGGTTTGACTTAATCGGCCACATGTTTTCCAAACCTTTTGGGAAGTCCTGCTGGGATTGGAGCACACCTCAGGCTCGACCACCTCCGTGATTTAAGGGGGTCTGGAGTCCCTGGAGGTGTTCTGGGGAAAGACGACAGAATAGGGAGGATCAGAGACCAAAGCTCCGCACGGCTACCTGATGCTCACACGGGGTCACGGGCGCCTCTTCCCTTCTCCTTAAGGCTTGGACTCCTGTAAAACACAGTGTCTCAAGTAACACTCTCTAATATGCTGAGAAAATAAAAATACTATAAATACAGGTGACCACACCTGCAGTATGTCATTCACTCATTCTTTCATTCACACATGCATCATTCAACCAATGGTCCCCGAGTGGACACCCTGTGCCGGGCCCTACCGACAAGAAGAAAAGGGCTGGTGGCCACTCTTGGGGAGCTCCCAGTCTAGTGGGGGACAGATAGGCAAGGCAATATGACAAGTCTGGCATTCAGATATGAACAAGGAGCTATGGAAATGCTGATATGGAAATGATTGATTGCATCTACCGTTCTCTCAGTCCTAGGGCTAGACGTCACAAAGGAGACGGAGGCTGAGCAGGACATGGCCAGCTGGACAAAGGAGGGCAGCGTGGTTTAGAGCGGAAAGGGCTGAGTGGCCTTGGGAAAATTATTAGACCCTTCTGAAACTCAGCTTCTCCAATAAAAACCAGGATGATAATACCCACAATGCTTGGAGAAGAATGACAGGAACTGACTATTGAAAGCGCCTGGCCGGGTACCTGGCACACAGCAGGTGTGCATGATTATTCTACACTGAGGAAGCTGCGTGTGTGGCCATCAGTCTGCCTTGGTGCACAGGTGGAAGTCGCTCCAAGTGTAGCCTCTAAAGGTCACCACCTGTCAGGTGTGATTCGCGTGCTGGAGGCCCTGTGTCCATGGTTCGTAGTCTCCTGCAGTTCAAGAATCTCTGTCCAGGCTGGCTGCCACCCCTTCACTCCTTCCTCATGGGCTGTTGCAACATCCTCAGTGCCTCCTCCCTGCCCCTCCGAAGGCATCTGGCCAAGGGGGAGGAACAGACCTGTTGTTGGGGTTGGACAGACCTGTGTTCAGGTGCGACTTAGCCGTCTCCACAGCATGTGTCCTTGGGCAGGTAACATAAAGCTGCTCTGAGCCTCAAGTTTCTCTTCTTCTAAGTTGATGCTGATTCAACTACCTCACAGGTGGGTAGTGAGATTTAAAGAAGACACACACAGAGATTTCCAGCACAGCGCTCAGCACGTGGTTGGTGCTCCCTCAGTGGTGGTTGTTGTTAGCCACGGACCTCTTCCTTCCCAGAGCCACTCCGCACGCCTGGGCTTCAGGACTGCTCCTCTGTAACCCTCCTTTGTTGCTCTCCTGGACAAAATGCCTCAGTAGCACCCTGATTCTTTTTGTCTCACTCCTCAATGCCTCTTACTGAATTTCGGTCCTCTCGCTTCATTAGCTCTGCGCTCCACACTCTGTATTCATATCTCCTCACTCGCTTACAACAATGCCGAGATTACTCATGCTTCTGCTTGCCATATCCTCCTTTGTTGACCTGGTGAACTCCTACTTGATCTTTGATACCCAGCTCTTCTGGGCTGTCTTCTCTCTCATCCTGCCCAGGAGATCTTCCTCCCTCTGGGCTGTCCCGGCACCCTCTTTGTGCCTTCACGAGAGCACACGTCAGGTTGGATCACAGAAATTTGCCTCTGCACCTGTTTATCCTGCTAAACTATGAACAACTCAAGTGATCATGTCTTAGTCATCTTTGGACTTGCCCCAGTGATGAACTCAGTACTTACACAGGGCATGACACGTAGTAGATGCTCAGTCAGCACGTGACCGAACTTGACTCATCGAGTCCTCGCTAGTCTCTTTGGTGTGAACTCAACAACACCCAGGTTTGTCCACAGCGCCTGGGCCAGGTGTACGCACAGTGGACTCTCAGTGTGAATAACTGCACCATTATATGTCGTTTGGTTAGGTGTAGTAATAGCAGTAGTAATAATAATAATAATCAGTATTTGGCATTTGTTGAATGCCTAAGATGTACCAGTTTCCATGCTAAGTACTTTAAATTCATTCTCATGTACTCCTCATATAACAATATGTTATTGTCTTCATTTTACAGGGGAAAAATCTGAAGCACAGAAAAGTTAAATGACTAGATCAAGGTCACACAGATAATTTGTGATGGGTTGAGGATTTGAGCTCAAGCCCATCAGATTCTAGAGTCTATATTTCAGTCACCCTATAAAAAGCTACCTGTGTTACTTACTGTCGCATCCAGGGCTGTGTGCTTTCTGGTTGGGTGGGTGTCTCTGTGGTTTGGCCAGTGGCTGTCCTAAAACTGTTCCTTAACTGTTATGCGTAATACCGCCAGGTAGGTCAGTGTCTCAACGTTATCATGGTTGTCTCTGCTAAGTTTCACCTCTGGTCTTGTGGTTCCAGGATGCCAAGCGTTTTAGGGTCCCCAAGATTTGTCTTATTCAGGTACCGTAAGATACACGGCCATAGAAACTCCTGTCATGAAGGAAGAAGAATTCTCAGGTCTCTAGGAACAGGAGGTGTGGCGCTCCATGCGGGGCCACGTGAGGAAGCACCAGGGCCAGTCGGGGGGCGGAGAGAGGGAAGAGCAAGAACCTTTCTTGTGGTTTCCGTAGGGAAGGAACAAACATCAGGGTCAGCAGGCTTGGGATTGGCTCATTTGAATAGTTTCATTAGGCTCTGAGGTCTTGGGGCTGTCCCTGCTTGTCTGAGACCTGGCCAAGTGTGTGAGCACCTGATCAAGACGGCAGTTGAGTTATGGGCTGTGGTTGGTTGTTTGGACGTAGAACGCATGCTCGTAAACGTCACCAAGCACTGGCACCCGAAGAAGAAACCAATTTCAGAAAGCTAGATTTCAACTGGGGCACTAGTAAGAGGTTTTTATTCTTAAGAAAATAAATAAATAAATGAAGATTGCTCCTCTTTCTTTTGAATCACAAGAACAGGTGTTCAATGGAACAGAAATGACACTGATTTCTCTCCTTGCCTGGCCCTGGGAGGGCAGTCTCTCTGGGGTCAGCAAGGCCCTAAATATTAAAGCATTGAAATACAGAAAATAAAAAGACATGGTTAAGACACCAAGGAACGTGGATGCTTGAGAAAGACAAACCGTGGCTTACGTGGCATGGCCTAGTGAGAAAGGGGATCTTTGTGTGCCCAGGGTCTCTGCAATAAGGACTGTAGGAGGAGCATGCCGGGGTGTCAGCAGAGCAGGCTGGGTCAGCCTCCCTTACCCTGGCCTCAGTTCAGTCTTGGTCTCCCATTGCTACAGCACAAACATCCACTCCTGTTTTGCGGTTCATTTTTACTGCCTTCCTTCCCGCCCAGCCGTCACATGGCTCCTTCCATGAGTCTCCCCATTCAGATTTGAATATCTTGAAACTTCTACCGTATCTGCTCTGGAGGCATAGGCAGAGATGGAAAGTGCGGATGCCTGACCCCCATGCTTGCCTCCACACCTGTTATATCTGCAGCAGAATTTCCCCCAAAGGAGTCACCTGCCACACAAATACCACCATTTGCTCAGCGAAAAAGAGATTTCACGATCATGTGTGTTTTGGAACTTCCACCTTCTATATTCTGCCTTGGAGATGGACAGCATACAACGACGTCATAAGGGCACTGAGAAGCGATGCAGGGAAAAAAATCTTTATCTCTGTTCTATCTAATGTTTCCAAATTTATCTGCCCCACCATAGAGCTGGTTTTGCATAACATTTGCTACCATTTCGTGAGAAGTCCTTGGGAACTGCTGCCCTGCTTGGTGGGGACTGGCATGGGGATGGCATGGCTCTGAGCTGCCCACTCACAGGCTTGGAGTGACCAATCGTACCGGCTTGGAGGCCAGGGCCTCAGGGTGCCCAAGGAGCCCAGTGTAATTGCCCCTAGAACCCTGAAGTTGACCCCTTTTTATTTTTTGGTGAGGAAGATTGGCCCTGAGCTAACATCTGTGCCAATCTTCCTCTATTTTGTATAGACGCTGCCACAGCATGTCTTGATGAGCAGTGTGCAGGTCTGTGCCCAGGATCCGAACCCAGGAACCCTGGGCCGCAAAGCAGAGTGTGCGAACTTAATCACTACGCCACTGGGCTGGCCCTGAGGTCTAATCTTGGCCTGATCCACCCTGAAGTCTTTGCTGTGCTCCTGGCATTGCCCAGGCCATCGTACCAGGCCTTGCTCCCTTCTGGATTCCTGGCTCCTGGCAGTGTCTGGCAAACAGTGGGTGCTCAGTGATTGCCTGGATTGGATGACTCCCCCATTAGAATCCTCTGATTAGAGGCTGTGTCTTTTTTTTCTAATCAAACTTTATCCTTGTATGGACACATACACATGTGGCTACATTTGTGGTCTGTGTGGGTTCTTCTCATAAATAGGCAAGGAGGCACGTAAGCACTGGGATTAGATTTCACATGGGAGAGTTGGCCACATCATTTTGCCATAAATACACACACACAGAGAAAATAAAAAGAAGCACAACATTGTAGATACAAGCAAACGTGTAGACACATTTGCAAAATAGACACGCTTTCTCACCACCACCAAACAGATACAAAGATAAACACAAAGAAATACAATCCAGACCCCCTCCCTCCCCAACACATGTGCTCTCCCCTGGGACAAACTGCTTCAAAATTGACTGACTTAACATAACTATTTTATTATATCTCATGATTTCATGGGTCAGAATTTGGCTGGGTGATTCTTCGGCTCATCATGCGTTACTGAGGTGACTCAGGGGGACCTGACTGGTGATGGACTGGTCTGGAAGGACCACGATGGCTTTTCTCATGTGTCTGGTGACTTGGCGGGGGTGGCTGGAAGCCTGGGCTCAGCAGGAACTGTTGACAGGAGTGCCTGCACAGGGCCTCTCAGACATGACATCTCAGGGTGGTCAGACCTCTTACGTGGCGGCTGGCATCTCCCAGAAAGAGCACGGCAAGAGGCGGAGGGGGTCGCTGGAAGTTGAGGAGCTTCTGTCTCAGGAGTTGGAGAACGTCACTTGTCCTGCATATTATTGAGCAAGAAAGTCACCTAGGCTGGCTCAGACGTACGGGAGGGCAATCAGACTCTAGCTGTCAGTGGGAGGAGCAGCAAAAAATTTGGGGCCACCTGTAATCTAATACACACACAGGCGTGCACGCATGCACACACACGCACACACACACACGCACACAGGCTACGTATCCCACGTGAGACTCAACCCTTCCCTGTTAAGCACACCACTGGGGCTGTGGTGATGTGGCTTAGAGGTCAGTCAAACCTGGACCAAATTCTGGCTTACCCACCCCAATTGCTAGCTGTGGACCTTGGCCAAGTCCCTCGACCTTCTCAGCTGCAGTGTCCTCATCTGCATATTGAGGAAATCATGCTTTTGTTCTTCCATTCAACAAGCATTATTGACAAGCTACCATGTGCTGGATGCTGCTGGGGATACAACAATGAGAACAACAGGCACTGTCCCTTATGGAGGAAGCTGTCATTAACTGAATAGTTGTGCAAACAAATGTAACTTTGCAACTGTGCTAAGTGCTATGAAAGAGCAACAAAGGTGCTGTGAAAGGGTACACCTGTGAGGTGATCAAGTTGAGAAGGCCAGGGACAGCTTCTCTGAGGAGGTGACTTGGCTGTGGTCTGGGAAATGAGTAGTAGCTAACCAGCTGAAATGCGTCTCAGGCAGAGTGAATAGCGTGTGCAAAGGCCCTGTGGCTGGATGGAGTTAGATGAATAGGAAGGGGTGAAATGCCAGCATGACTGGGACAGAGAGATGAAGGGGAGCAAGTGGGAGATGAGACTGGACGGATGGGTGGGCACTTTGTTGACCAAGTTAAGAAAGGGTTTAAAAACTTGTCTACATTTTATATATTTACTTGAATGGTTTTAATTATGAGGGTGACATGACCAGATTGTGTTTCAAAAAGAAGACTTTGGCTGCAACATGGGGAACAAACTGCAAGATCGCAAAAGGAGATGTGAGTGATCCCATTAGGAAGCTGTGCCAGGTAGAAGAGTGCCCCCTAAAGGCGTCCATGTCCTAATCCTTGGAACCTAGGAATGTGTTAATTACATAGCAAAAAATGAGGTTGCAGATGGAAGTAAGGTTACTTCTCACTGACCTTAAAATAGAGTGATTATCCTGGATTATCCAGGTGGGCCCAACGTAATCCCATGAGCTCAGAGACTAAGTCAGAGAGATGGAACATCAGAAGCACTCAACCTGCCCTTGCTGGCTTTGAAGATGGAGGAAGTATTATGCACCTCATTTTGTAATTGAAGAAAAGGAATTTCTGAGACATTAAGTGACCAACCGAAGACCAAGCATCACTAAGCATCGTAACCAGGGCTTGGATCCAACTCATTGGACTACAGAGTCTCTCTGCTATTCTAGGGAACCCCTGGGGGGCTCCAGGTTCGAGCCTGCCTGGGTCTAACTCCAGCCGCATCTACAGTGTCATCCTCTTCACCCCCTCTCCTCCCCACCCAGAGCAAACCCTCCCTTCTCATCTCCGCTTATTTCCCATCGTATTGACCGAGGGTGCTGGGCTACGGAAGAAAGGGGATCTTGTCGCTGGAATCACGATGTAGGAGGGTGTGTGCATTTAGACTTAGACAGTGTTGGAGATAAAAAGACCTGAGGAATCACCCAGTGTAATTCTGTCCTTTGGCAGATGGAAATACTAAGACCAGAGAAGGGAAGTACCTTGCCCACCCCCGGCTCCCCACAAGTGAGTACTAGAGTCAGAACTAAGGCCTGAATTGCCTGGTCCCCCAGAGCAATGCTCCTGCCGCTGCCTCCTGGACAGCTCCCGTGTGGTCCTGGAACCTTCAGTGGGAGTTTGGATGCGTTTTCCCATGAAAGTAGGCTCTATAAAAGGACCAGAGTGCCACGAGTCGCACGGCGCAGTGTTGGCTCGGCTGCACTGCGGCTTGCTCTGCCCCTCCTCCCCTGGAAAAGTGAGCTCACTTGGATAGCACAGTTTCAGTGTGAAAATGCCGCTCTCAGACAGTGAGTTCACAGACAAACTTTAGGGTGCCTGTTTGTAAGCTGGGAACTGCCTGGACCATCACTGTGGACTTCAGGCCCAATCACGTGCAAGGCCTTCTCTCTGAAGTCTCCCTCTTTCTCCTTGTGTGTTTGTGGGAATTCTGCTGTCTGGCTGTTTCTCCCTCGGTGAAACTGCAGCAAGAACTGTGGAGTCACAAGACCTGAATTTGAATTTGGACTTAGGCCCCG